CCCAGTAAACTCATATATTCCAGAATTTCATTTACAATTCAAGTTCAACATATCTTTTTGTAACAACTTAGATGATGGACTCAGAAACAATAATTTAGGTCTAAAATCAGTTTGATAGTGAGTTAGATGTTAGAGCACTGTGGAAGACAAATGCTGTTGAAGAGACTCAGTTATTTACAATAAGAAAGTGGTAAAGAGCAAGAAGTGAATTTTAGAAAAGGTGAATATTTGAGGAGAAAAGACAAGCTGTTCATACATAAGAGAATTAATGTGTAATTTGACAAAAATTAAGAGATCTTTACTGTTTATTATCAAGAAAATAATACAGCCAAACCAATAATTGATGGGAATTCATTAATAAAATATATAAACCTTCAATATAATTCTATCACATCTCCTTAAAATATTCAGAGTATTACTAGAAATTAATATCTACTTCTGGGGACTGCTACTTAGGTAGTGTAGAACAGCATTTCCCAAGCTTTAGTGTGCATAGAAATCCCCTGGAAAAATAAACAGATTTGTTCGGCTCATTCCCAGGGTGCTAATGCTGCTGATTTAAAGGACCCATACTCTGAGGAGTTTTGGTGTACAGTACTTGGAAAGAATCTGAAGACTAAACTGCAAGACCTATGAGGAATAGCAACTCATAATCTAATCAGAAGAGAATGAGATGAAAATGTAAGGAAATAAGCCAAGTGATGAACCAAGCAGGTGAATGTCCTAATATTCATGTTATACTCCCAAATCCTGGAAATGACAGGGAATTTTAACAAATATGTAATACTGTAAAACAGGCTGGGGTTGGGGGAGCCACTTTTGATGGCCCACAAGTTATGAGAAAGGCTTAAAGTGGTAGGTGATAGGGTAATTTTGATGGAAAGTATCATAGTCCATGGAGACAACTGTACTTGAACAACAATAAAAAAAAATTTCCTTTCAAAAAGAAAGAATCACAGTCCATAAAAACTTGCAAAAGATGACTAGTGCAAAGGATAAAAGTTACTTTGGGGGTGGATTAAATGAGTGGGGGGTACCTGGTGGCCAACAAGATGATGGGTTATTGGACTACAGTCATTGCAGCCAGCTTAGTAGGCCTTTGTATACTTTTCCTCCTTATCCACTGTCCCCAAACGAGACAACAGAGATGTTCTGTTTCCAACAAGAAGGAGGGAGGACACTTTGGAGAAGTAGCAAGCACCAAATGGCTATCAATTCCCAGGTGTTTGGAGGGGGGTGCTCTTATGCTCAGAATACAATTTATTGACAGCTCCAACCAGCACTACTTGACCCTCCCCCCAGGTACTGGAGATAGGTCACATTAAACAGAGCATTCATGGAGAGGCTAACATGGAATCCCAAATTCCAGAAAGAGCAAATAGACAAAACAAGTCATGGAAAACCAACTCTGTAAGGAAAAGTGATCCAAATGTAACAAACAGAAGATGCAAATTCATCAATTAAATGCATTCCCTAGGATAAAAAATTGGATTTTTGTAAAGGAATAATAAATTGTCCTAAAAGTAGTAAGAAAAAACATCAAATCCTTGGCATAGTAATGCTTTTTTTAAAGACAGTGCTTACAGGAAAAGAAAATTCAATAAATAGGCTGACTAGGAGATATGCTGAATAGCAAAGATTGAGACAAATAGTTTTCCTAGGGTATATATAGTACAGAATGACAAAGAAATAGAAAGTAAGAAATGCTTTTTTGTGTTTTTTTCCATTTTTATAGAAGAAATCAAAAGGGATGTCAGAGAAGATAGAGTAGTAAGTACCACTTCTTCACCTTGACAAAAATTTTACTGACAGAATCTGTCTAATGTAACTATTTTAGAATTCTGTAGCTATTTGAAGATTTGCATCTTTCAGGGGAAGAGTTGGCCATTAAATTGTGGTAATTTTAGCTGTAATCAAGGTAGTATTAACTCCCTTGACCCATGACATGTAGCTGTACCTGCACTGTTAGACAGGTTCACAGGAACCAGGCTGGGTAATGTTGAGAAGTTTCGGTGTACAAGCCAAGGGGAAATATGCAAAATTATATGAAGAAGCTGTTAAAATATTCCTGCCTTTTTAAACTACATATTGGGAGACTTCCAGTCAAGATGGAGGTATAGGTAGATGCACTTCACCTCCTCACGCAACCACAGACAGAATTAAAACTAAACTTCAAAACAAGTAACACCCAGAACTGTCAGAAAATAGAACTGTATGGAAGTCTGACAACCAGGGATTTAAAGGAGCCACATTCATCCAGATGGCTAGGAGGAGGGAGACACAGAGATGGGTGGAGAGGCAAAGAGACCCGATGTGGCACAGAGAGGCAGCAGTGGAACAGGAGGTCCCACATTCACATGTAGTGGATAAAAATTGGGAGGGATACCTTAGGAGCAAGCAATTATAGCCCTAGGCAAGACCACATAGCCCAGGATTCCAGCGCTGGGAAGATAAATCCCCATAACTTCAGGCTATAAAAACCAGTGGAGTTTGGGGAGGTGGAAGAAACTTCCAGAGTTTCAGGAGACTCTGCCTAAAGGGCCCTCATGATCTTAGAACTTACACAAACCCATCCACTCTGGGATTCAACACCAGGGCAACATCTGGAAGGGCACCAGTCACATATAGAGAGTGGGTGAAGTAACTGGAGACAGGGCCAGTGCTGGGCAAAAGTCCAGAAGCCAGGCAGTGGCACTATTCCCTCTCCAAGCCCCCCTGCCACACAGCCACAAATCAGTAAAGCAGGTTGCCCCACTCTGGCAGAGGCTCAATCCCACACAACTCATAGGTGCCTTTTCTACAGAAGGCTATGCTACTAAGATGAAGTCAAAGCAGCTCCGAGTAATAAACAGAAACAAACACAGGAGGTCTGCTAAATTGAGGAGACAAAAAAAAAAACAAAAAACATGGCCCTAATGAAAGAACAGAACAAAACCCCAGAAAAAGAATTAACAGAATGGAGATAACCAATATATAAGATGAAGAGTTCAAAACACTGGTGATCAGGATGCTAAAAGAACTCTTTGAGTATAGCAACAACATAAAGGAAGAAAGGAAAATTATGCTAAGTTAAATAAAGAAAAATCTACAGGAAACAACAGTAAAGGGGAGAAAGTTGGGATTCAAATCAATGATTTCAAACATAAGAAAGAAATAAGAATTTTAAAAAACTGCAATAGTATAAGAAGTCTCTGGGACATCTCCAAACATACTAACATCCAAATCATAGGGATGCCAGAAGGGGGAGAAGAACAAGAAATGGAAAGCTTACTTGAAAAAAAATGAAAGAAAACTTCCCTAGTTTGGCAAAGGAAATAGACATAGAAGTCCAGGAAGCACAGCGAGTCCCCTATGAGTTGGACCCAAAGAGGCCCACTCCAAGCCACATCATAATTAAAATGCCAAAGGTTAAAATTAAAGAGAAAATCTTAAAAGCAGCTAGAGAAAAGCAGGTAGTTACTTATAAAAGATTTCCCATAAGACTGTTGGCTGATTTTTCAGAAGAAACTTTACAGGCAAGAAGAGACTGGCAAGAGGTATTCAAAGTGATGAAAAGCAAAGAACTACAACCAAGGTTATTCAGCTCATTTAGAATTGAAGGGCAGGTAAAGTGCTTCCCAGACAAGGTAAAGCTAAAGGAGTTATCATCATCAAGCCATTATACATGAAATGTTAAAGGGACTTATTTAAGAAAAAGACCAAAATTATGAACATTAAAATGGCAACAAATTCACAACTATCAAAAACTGAATCTAAAAACAAGAAGCTAAGCAAACAAGCAGAATAGGAACAGAATCATAGATACCAATGTCATTTGGACAATTACCAACTGGGAGGGGGAAGGGGGAAGGGGGAGAATGGGGGGAAAAGGTAGAGGGATTAAGAAGTATAAATGGTAGGTACAAACTAGACAGGGGGAGGTTAAGGATAGTATAGGAAATGGGGAAGCCAAAGAATTTATACATACAACCTGTTTGTGGACATGAACTCAGTGGGGGGATTGCTGGATAGGAAGGGGTGGTGGGCAGAGGGATGCCAAGGGGGTAAAATTAGGACAACTGTAATAGCATAATCAATAAAATATATTTTAAAAAATAAAAATGAACTACATATTGGTATGGGGCTAGATTCCTTTTATATACTTCAAATAAAACTATATTACAACAGAGTGAATGCCGAAGTAAATACAGGCCATATAGTAAAGAGACAAACAGGTAAAAGAACCTCACTTTTCTCACTAAATACTTTTTTGTTTTATGAAATATAATTATCATTTAACAAAAAATTTATTTCATCTTAGTGTCTAATGGGTTTATTGTTTTTAATGAATTAAATATTTTTAATATACTCTGGTTTCACTTAAAATTGTATAAATCTTTTGCCTTTTAAATATTTTTTGGTGTCTCTGTTTAACTTCAAACATGGTAAGTATCAATTGTTATAACCTCAGAAACAAAGCTTTTTGGTGGTATTAGTAATTTTTAAGAGTTTAACAATGTTCTGAAACCAAAAACCAAGTCTAAAAATTGCTGCCTTGTGGTAAAGATCACAGTCGACCTGCCCCACCCATGCACACAGAACTCCCACTAGCTTTTGAGTGCCTTACCCTTAAATACAAGTTGACAGGCAGTGATCGCCAGCTGTTTAAGGAAATCATATTAAGCGTATATGAGGACAAGACACTGTGGACATTACTCAGTCATAGGGTTGCCAGGAGTCAGAGCTGACTCAACAGTCTGTACAATACAAGTTGGAGGTGCCCATAGTGAGTTATGCCAAAGTCCTGAAAATGAAAGATGTTAAAATGGGAACTGCCATCAAAGGGTTTCTTTCTAGAGAATTGAGTAAAAGAAGAGTGTTCATAGATGGTATTAAGATAGTCCTCATTATGTGAGGGGCAGAGCAAGTGACCTGTCATCAACCTTTTCAGCATGAAGATTTTATGCCTTTATTTACATGTAGCTCTAATATTGGAAAATTATTTCTTATTTATTCTGTAGAATTACTCCTGAACGAGTAAGGTCCCTATCACGAGTTTGTGTCCCACTTGTTACTCTGCCGGATTTTGAACCACTGATAGAAGCCCTGCTCACCTACCATGGAACTGAACCTCAGGAAAAGCTCTGGCCTGAGTTCTTTGATGCTGTGAATGAGGCCTTTTTGCTGTAAGTGATACCCACTTATCCTATCACCCAACTTTGTTTTTCCTTTTCTTAGAAAATTTCAGTATGTTGGAAATGCAGTTTTCAGATGCTTTCATCTCATTACACACTTTATGCTCTTAAAAATTATTGAGGATCCCAATGAGCTTTTTAAACATGTGGATGATATCTGTCAATATTTATCATATTTGAAATTAAAATATAAGTTTTGAAAATATTTTACTTATTATTGTATTTTATTGTTTATGCTACTAGAGTTGTCTCCACTTTTTCTCCCTTTGCCCACTTCCATCGATCCCCTCACCCCTCCCTTAGGCAGTCCCCTCATCAATCCCCTCATCATTGTCCATGCTCGTGAGTCATGGATATGTGTTCTTTAGCTAATTCGTTTGCCTTCTTTCATCCAGTTCCCTGCTTCCTCCTCTCCACAGCTGTCAGTCTGTTCCATGTAACTGTGCTTCTGTTTCTATTTTTTTCATTAGTTTATTTTTAGATTCCATATATAAGTGAGATCATGTGGTATTTGTCTTTCACTCCCTGGCTTATTTCACTTAGAATAATATTCTTTAGGTGCATACATGCTGTCACAAAAGGTAAGAGTTTCTTTTTTTTTACTGCTGTGTAGTATTCTATTGTGTAAATATGTCACAGCTTTTTTTAATCCACTTATCTACTGATGGGCACTAGATATCACAGAAATATAAGGGATCGTAAGAAAATACTATGAACAGTTATATGCCAAGGAATTGGACAACCTGAGTGAAATAGATAAATTCATAGAAATGTACAATCTTCCAAAACTGAATCAGGAAGAATCAGAAAACCTGAATAGGCTGATAACTAATGAATTGAAGCAGTAATCAAAAACTCCCAACAAAGAAATAAACATATTTTACTACTTTTAAAAATAACAATAAATTGATTACATGTTAAAAAGATTATTTAGCAAGAGTGGCAGGTTTTTTACATTTTTTGTAAATCTGTTTTATTGTCTGACTTAAAAGAAGATAGCTGGTTCTCATATATATTTCTGTATTCAGTCTGGTGCAATAGTTGTCTTGGTTGAAGTATATGAAGAAAATCTAGCCCCACACAGATATGTAGTTGGAAAAGGCAGGAGTATTTTTAATAGCCATCTCAGGTGATTGTAGATATTGTTTTTGCATACCTCATCAAATTTTGAAAACTGTGGTTTTTTTATAGTTAGTTGTGATGTAGAATATGAAATTACATCACTGAGCTTTTCATACTGATACATTAAAACTTACTGGGGTATCTTGCACTTTTAATGGGTCTTTTGTCCAAGCAGGACTTTGTAGCCCTGTTCATGGTTCTTTTGGAAAATACTGATTGGTTGTTATGCAGATCTTCCAAACATTGACATAGTACTTTATTTTATAGTAACAAACCTAACATTAATTAATTCCTTTCACCGCCAACTTCATCAGCAGTGTTGTATTTAAGTATTGTGAAGCTGTTAAGCTCATGTTGGTGAAAACAAATTTTCCAAGATTCTACTTTCTACTTAAAAACTCAAATTTATCATTGGTTTCAAATACTGCCTATTGTACTTGAAGTACTAGAGTCACTTCATTAATTTTTGAGCAAATATGAGTCAAATACTCAAGTCTGAATACCATTGTTTGCCTGCCAGTCATTCTTTTAGGTTTCCATTTTAAAAAGTGGCCAATTCTCGCAGCTCAAACAGTTGCACAGGTGCTTTCCCTTCAGACAACATCATTTCTTTTTTGTTGTGTAACAGAAATGTTTTATGCACACTATTCGTTTTACCACACAGAATTTTTTAATAAAAAGTATTCTCAAGGATAAAACTTAATAAAACTAATATTTTATATTGTTTTGTCAAATACACTTTTATGTGAAACTGGCAGTGTTTTTACTGGGAGTATGTAGTCATGAAGGATACAGTGACCACTCTCCCTGCTTTAGTCTGTGCTAAGTACAGCAGCATTTCCATTGTTGCTTCTGAGCTACAATGCAAACATCAGCCCAGCTGTTCTAAGAAAAAAAACATGCCATTCAAAATAGTTATTCAACACTTAAGTATTTTTGTATCACATGTGTATATCTCCAAGTTCACCTAAAAGAACTCCTTTTCTTGGTGTTGATCCAGATGAATATAAGCAACCCAATTAGTCCAGCCATATCTAAAAATTACATTTTCAGGCAGAAGTGCAGTTCTGTTGATGAAATACTAATTCATCACATGTACATTTGAAGTATTTGAATCCTTTTTGTTTAGACTGAATGATTGGTCTCAGGTTGTTGCTACAATTAACTAGCACTATAATAGTAACTGAAAACATTCTATTGAATAAGACACAATAAAGCAAATTATTAACATCTATAAAGCCAAGGGTAAAATTACTTTCCTCATACTGCTTTTCATTTAGAGTTTAGCCCAATTCCTTCAGAGTAGATATTTCCTACTCATGAGCCAGAGAAATCTGATATATAATGGTTTCATCTTTTCCCAATGAAACATCTATGAGATGAGAAAGTAAATCTTTTAATTCTCTTTTGTAAAGCCACTGATTTCTTTTCTTTTTTTTTTTTAGATTTTATTTTATTTTACTTTTTAGAGAGGGAAGGAGGGAGGGAGAAAGAGAGAGACAGAAACATCAATGTGGGGTTGCTGGGGGTCATGGCCTGCAACCCAGGCATGTACCCTGACTGGGAATCGAACCTGTGACATTTTGGTTCACAGCCCGTGCTCAATCCACTGAGCTATGCCAGCCAGGGCTTTGATTTCTTAACTAAAAGAAAATATAAATTTTATCTGAATATTAAATTCTTTAAAAAATTTTTAATGCTTTATATATCCATATTAAAAAATTTATGTATAAACAAATTTATGTGTGTGTATATATATATATATATATATGGTTGATATGGAAAAAGTCCAGCCATTGTTAATATAACGAGAATGGTTTGCACAACATCCATGTAACCTGGCAGCCAAGGACAGTGGACTGGAATGTGCATGTGTGGTCAATGATGACTTCACTGTCCCAGTCAGTGGGGAGGCAGTAGACGATGTTGAATGAGCATGTATACTGAGTGGCAGTGACATTCAAAATGACTGAGCAAGTAGAGCAAAGAATCTGCATCAAATTTTGCATTAAGCTTGACTATCCCTCTGCAGAAACTATTCAAATGACTCAGAGGTCTGCAGCTATGGGCAACTGGTGATTGACAGCTTCATCAGAACAACACACCTGCTCATGCGTCATGTCTCATGTAGATTTTTTTGGTGAAACATCAAATCACCCAGGTGACTCAGCCCCACTACAGCCCAGATTTGGCTCCCTGCAACTTCTAGCTTTTCCCAAAGCCAAAATCACCTTTGAAAGGGGAGAGATTTCAGACCATTTATGAGATCCAGGAAAATACAGTGGGGCAGCTGATGATGATTAGGAGAACTGTGTGAGGTTCCAAGGTGCCTACTTTGAAGGGGACTGAGGTATCATTTTCCTATGTACAGTGTTTCTTATATCTTGTATCTCTTTCAATAAACGTCTCTATTTTTCATATTACATGGCCGGATACCTTCTGGACATACCTTGTATATACCTAAAATAATCTGGATGAAATTTTTAAATTCTTCAAAAATTTCTAAATATTATTCCAAAAAACACTTAACAAAGTATCCCTCTCACTATGTTTTCATGTAGAAACAAAAGAAAATGTCAGAATTTTATTTTTTTACATCTTTTTTCCAGCTTTATTGAGATGTAATTGGCATATAACATTGTATAAGTTTAAGATTTACAGTGAGTTATTTTGATACATTTTTATATTGCAAAATGACTACTACCATAGATTAGCTAATACAGTATCATTAACTATAATCACCATGCTGTACATTAGATCCCTTGAACTTATTCATCTTACTATGGAAGTTTGTATACTCTGACCAACATCTCTCCATTTTTTCCCACCCCCTTGTTCTAGGTAACCATCATTGTAATCTCTGTTTTTATGAATTCAGCTTTTTTAGCGTCCACATAAAGTAATAATCATACAGTATTTTTGTTTCTGTGTCTGCCTTGTTTCACTTAGCATATTGCCCTCAAGGTCTATCAATATTGTCACAAGTGAACGGATTTCTTCTCTCGTGTGTCTGAATGATAGTCCATTGTGTGTGTGTGTGTGTCTCAGTCTCACATCTTCTGAGCCATTCATTCATCCAAACTTAGGTTGTTTCCATATCTTGACTATTGTGAAAAATGCTGCAATAAATGTGGAGTGCAGATATATTTTTGATATCTTATTTTCACTTCCTTTGGATATATTTACCCAGAAGCGGGATTTTTGGATCATATGGTAGTTCTGTTTTTAATTTTTGAGGAACTTCCATGCTTTTTTCCATAGTAGCTGCACCAACTGTGCACAAGGATTTGCTTTTCTACATTTTCCCCAGCATTTGTTATTTCTTGTCTTTTTCATGACACTTATTAAATGGTCATCTAATAGGTGTGAGGTGATTGCATTTCCCTGGTGATAAGTTATGTTCAGCACCTTTCATGTACCTATTGGGCATTTATTTGAATGTTTTCTTTGGAGAAATATTTACTCAGTTACTCTGCCCATTTTAAAAAACAAATTGGTCTTTTTTCAGTTGAGTTACATGAGTTCTTGATATATTTGAATATTAACACATTATCAGATAGTTCTTTAATCCATTTTGAGTTGAATTTTGTGTATGGTATAAGGTATGGGTCCATTTTCATTTTGCATGGGCTGTTCAGTTTTGTCAGTACCATTTATTGAAGCAACTGTCTTTTTCCCATAAGATAAGCTAAGCTTTCTTTTGTGATTTAATTAACCATTTATGTGTAAGTTTATTTCTTGGCTCTCTGTTCTGTTCCATTGATCTATGTGTGTGTTTTTATGCCAGTCCCATCAGGTTTGATTACTACAGGTTTATAATATAATTTGAAATCAGGAAGTATCTGCCTCTAGCATTGTTCTTTTTTCTC